ACTTGGCCACAAAGATCGTGCGATTTTACACCGTTCGACTTTTGCTTGCGGGGCTACACGAAAGAAAGTGTTTATGCGGTTAGACCTTTAACTCTTGAGCATTTGAAAACTAACGGTCGTTAGGTTATGACTGAGACACCGCCCGATGCGTGTCAAAATGTGGTCGGAAATTACTTTAAACGGGTGGAAGTTTGAAAATAATTCGCGAGGAGGTTATTTAAATGATGTATGAATGCTTAGGCTCAAACTTTATATTAAATTAGGAGCTTCATGGAATTAAAATTATTTTAAATGTATTTTATTTACATTTATTTTCGGAACTGCAAAATGGTTAACTCTTAATTTTTGTAAATTACACATAAATATATTTGTATAAATGGATTTGCTTGGAAATCACTGTTTTTTTTGCTTTCTTCAAATTTTTTTATTTACTCTTAATTTAAATTTTTTTATTTATTATTTGTTTTTTTGTGGTTTTTATTTGGTTTTTTCGCATTTTTGTGTAGTTTCTACGGAAATGTTATGAATGAAGTGGCTCACAAATAGCGATAAGGCCACAGTTGTGAATCCCCTTATCAGTAAATTTTTCACTTTCGAGAAAAAATCAAAAAATATGAAAAAAGAATGCATAGAAACAAATTCGTCTTTCAGTTGACTAAAATTTGTATGCAAGTATTTTTGTATAAAACAACAATTTAAATATGGAAGGAACAACAAGAATTGCAAATATATATAACGGTACCGTTCAACATTTCTCTTGCGCATAGACGTGGCTGTTTTGTTATTTTAACAACTATGATGAAATCAATTACTAGCACCTCAATTACGTGCATTTATGTATCTACATATGTATATATATAAATAATACAAATACACATAGTAGATATCTAAAAATAGCTTGTGTAAACTATTTGTGCAACGTCTGTGCCGCCACAATGCTAACAGTAAAAACACAATCACCTAAATATTTTCACATTCTTTTCATTCATACATACATACATATATATATGAATGTATGTATTGGTTTATATGTCCGTCGAATGCATTATTGATTTGTTGTGGCGCATCCACACATTTGTGGGTGTGTTTTTACAATTATTTGTAACTACATTTATATACATGCATGCATATACACATACATATGTATGTACATATATAATTTTATTAACCAATAAATTTTTTCTAATTTTTCTATTACACAATTGCAATGACGAAAGTGATTAGAAATGTTTACGATAGACTAAATTATAAAATTTACTATAAATACTTACACACACACACTCATACACACACCGCACACAGTGTATGTAAAGCGTGTAAGCGTATGTAAAAGTATGACAGTCAGTAAATGCAAGGCGCGTTAGTCAGTTAAATATATTTAAATAAAAACCACGTGGGTTGCTATCTGATTTTTCACGATCTACTATATATCGATGATTTCACAATATCCGTTGTTTTTTTTTTTAACCATACATATGTATGTAGTGTAGAACTCCTGCGGTTAACGGCGAATAAATGGGCAAATCATTTTCGGCGACACTTCAGTCGGACAATTTTTTTCTTCCTCCTAGAAGATTTTGCAGAGACCGAAACAAATGATAGTCAGATGGTACAAGGTTCAAAGCTTGGCAACCAAGCTTCGTCATTTTTTTTTTTAGTCATCAAATATCCTTTTCTGTTCAACAATTTGGTAAACTTGAATTGAAGCACTTGTTGTGAGCTCGCTAAGTGCCACCAGTAGAGCTCAGAAATAACCATCTCGCCAAGTTTTGACAGCTCATTTTGTGCGATTCGCTTCCAATTCCACCAGACGTTAATTCTGACTTTGAAGTCCTTTGTGCATTATTCTTGCATTAAATCCATTTTTCATCACTTCTGATATGTTTTGCTTTTATCGCGTTTCTCTGATTTGTGGGTAATTCGTTCAATCAAATTTTCTTGCATTAACTCACTCAGACATTAAGTTTCTCTGACTTTTGGCTAGAGTTTTTTTTAATGCTTTAAAACTGTCGTGTGAGTGATGTTTAATGCCTGTGATATCTTCAACGCTCGGTTTGTGGTTGTAACGGTCAACAAATACTAGGAAACTTTGAAAGATGTCTCACCCCGACCGCTCCAGGCCTGTCTCTTTCCGTCTACTGTCCTTTCCGATGGATGCAAAGAAATTTGGGTCTTTTGAAGAATTTGAAAAATGACGCAATGATTGGGTCGAGAACAGGAAGGGCTCATTTTTTAGAGATTTCGATAAAACAAACCTGTTTTAAATACAAAAAGAACCGTTCGGATTAATTTGTATCCGATATTTTCTGTATATAATATTTTCTCTTAATTTTTTATATTTTATTTCATTTTTTTTTTTTAATTTAACTTTATTTTATTTTATGCTTTTTCGTGTTATTTATTTAATTCCGTTTGTTTTGTTTTATTTTGTTCTTAACTTCATTTTCATTTTTGTTTTATTTATAATTTTATTTTATTTATTTTGGTCAATTATATTTTATTATAATTAGTTTTTATTTTGTTCTATTTTATTTGACAATTTTTTGTATTATTTTTCATTATTTTATAAAGAACAAAATGTAAATAGGAAATTTATTTCACTTTTTTATGTAATATTTTTATTTTTTACTTTATTTCATTATATTTTATTTTTATTTTAATATATTTTAATTAAATAATTTTTTATTCTTTTTCACTTTCTTTATTTTATTTTTATGTTCTATTTTTAAAATGTAGATGTTATTTTTATTTATCTTATTTCTAATTCTATATTTTATATTTTTTGTACTTATTTCATTATATTTAATTTTATTTTAATATATTTAAATAAATTTTTAATCTTTTTCACTTTCTTTATTTTATGTTTTATGTTCCATTTTTTTTTATTTTATTTTAATCCTTTTCATTTTATTTATTTCAAAAGGAAATAAATATAAATAAAATTTTTTACTTTATTTTGTTTTTAATTTCACTTTATTTTATGTTATTATTTATTTATTTATTTTTTTTCCTTTTTTGTTATTTTTTATTTTATTTTAATTTAAAATTATATTATTAATTTTTTATTTTACTTTATTTCATTTCACTTTGCTAATGTTATTTTATTTCATTTTTGTATCTTTTAACTATTTTCTTATATTTAATTTATTTTTTATATTTTATTTAATATTTGTATATATTATATTATTTTTTTATATTTTATTTAATATTTGTATTTTATTTATTTTTTTTTTTTTAAATTTTTTTTATTAAATTTTAATTTTTTATTTACTAATCAGGCTTCAATGAAACACGTAATTCATACACAATTAAAACTTGTTTGAATTTTAAAATCTTTAGCTGCCACCCCCATGTATAGTAAAGACTTCGATAAATACACAGTTAATGCTTCCGTTTAGCCACTCTTCGGCGTCCAACATTTAACGTTGCATTTATGTATGATCTTAATTGCAATTGACTTTCTAGCGCACTTTCCCACAGACAACACGATTGTCTCTCTCTCTGCCTCTCTCTCGTTTCTTATATCGTTCGAATTCATGCTTTTCTCTTATACAATGCCACGACAACAACGATTATTGTTTACGAAATTTATCGATCGCAAATACATACTGTACGCATGCACATCTATGTTTGCATGTAAATGTGCTTACACTCTTCATTGATTTATTTTACAAACATTCGCGTACATACATACATATGTCTCAATTGTCATTAACTATTCGCTACGGTTTGTTTATTTGCTGTTTATCCGTCAAAAAGCAATTGTGGGAACCGCATTTTGTCATGAATTTACTATTTGCTCCCATGACATTTGCTTCAAGTGGGGAAAATAATAATAAAAGGTGTATTAAATATTTGCATATAGATTAAAAAATCCACAACCACAAACTGAATTAGAAGAGCCACGTTTATATTTTATTATCGCCCTTCTTTTGCTTTTAATGCACTAAAATAGAACTCATTATTTTAATTGCTATTTATCTAATATTTTTTTTTATTTTTTGTTTTTGTTTTTGTTTGATAACACTTGCGTTGGACGTCAGGTGATTTTTTTCTAAGAACTTTTGTTAAGAAACTGTGGTTTCTCTTTGCTAAGAAAAAAAACATTGAAATGTATAATGGTTGCTTTGTTGTAAAAAAAGATAATTCATTGATAATTCTCTTTATATTAACAATATTTTAATTTATTTTTTTCGATTCTAAACACCCTTTATTTCATATCGTTTTCTAAATATGATATTATATTAACAAACTTATCTCTTCATAAGATAGTGCAAACTTCGCTCACAACAAAAAATAAAAATAATAAACATTTAGCAACGTGTCGCTTGGGAACTCCGTAATATGAGCTTATATAATCAGATTTTTTTGTTTGTTTATTATTTCCATGCAATAGATAAATATCGATAAGAATGTAAATGTAACTGACTAATGTTTACATTTACTTTTTTTATTTACATATACTTTAATTTTTTTTTTACTAATTTTTCTTATTTTCGCCCCTGAAAAATAATATTTTTGCTTCCTAGTTATTGGACGTTCTTCTCCTAACCTGCGCAAACTTAACTAATCGATTTACCAAATTTACATGTTTTAAATAATATTTTTAATTCGTTTATATTCGAAAAAATTGCATAAAAAATTTAATTTAAAAAAATTACTTTTAATTTGTGTTTCAATAATTTTACCTGAAATGCCTCAACATTTCGAAACCACTTCGTTCCCTTGAATGTCACGGCTGTACTTGCAGAAGCTCATTCTTTTCCGACTGTCGACACAATTTTCCAAAAAACTTTCTCGATTATGTGGTCCCCATAGTCTTTTCCTGTTTCAAGTCATAAATCGTCTCTGTATGGTTGATGAAGCATTTAACTTAGCGGCTTCTCATAAAAAATACTCCAAGGGTGGCAAATCGCATCTGCAAAGAAGTCTTGTCGAAACCACACATCCATCGTCCATATTATTCTCTTCAAAATTTTTAATTAATAATAATGAAAATATAATCTGGAACGGCAACGATCGGTAGCTTCTTTATCGCTTTCGAAGCAGAACGTACTAATGTTGCCGGTCGGTGTTCACATGCCGTTTTGTGCAGCATTTGCTAGTCCTCACTCGTTGAGGAATTATTCTCTTTACCATGGTTACGTTAGTTTATCAAGTTAATTGCTAAGTTGCTTCCTCGGAAGGGATAATTTTTTGATAAAAATGTGCATCTTCTGTCAAGCGATCTTCATGGTTGGCCATCAGGCTTCAGGTCTTGAACCGATCGAACTTTAGAAAGCTTTTTGCGAAACCCTACGCAAAATGTTTAATTCCTACGAACGGCTTAGAGTTGGCTATTCGAGTACACTTCAATCTACAGCAGCAATTTTATCCTCTAAATGCCTTAGAGGCGCACATGGCTTTGTCCTATAGTGAACCTATTTGGCGTGAGTAGCTTTCCTGCAATTGCGGTTGAAAACTCACCACATTTTGGTACTCAAACTTTAATTAAACTTTTCAAGCGTGAACTTAATAACTTTGTTAGCTGCTAAGCTTGCACTGAATATTTGAGACATCCATCGAGCTATTGATGGAGTTAAAGTTACGTAAAATCGGAGTTAAAAAAGCAGTCAATAAATTGCCGACCCTTTGTAAATAAACAAATAATCAAAAGCAGTATACATTTAGGCGCATATTTAATTAAGCGTATTTTAAGCCGAAAGTGAGCCTGCAAAGCTCATATATGATATATGTGGGAAAAAATGCCGAAATATATAATTTAAGTCCTTGTGTGTTTACTTTTATTGAAGCAGTGACGAAAATATATCTAATAAATAAGCATTTCTTAATAATTCATAAAAAAATAAAAAAATGTCCAGCATTAAAAATACTTTTATTTTCACTGTAATTAAGCCTGTAGCTGTAGAAGTTTTTCGGCCTTAAACTTAATATACACCAAACGTTAGATAACCAAATATTCGTTTTAACAGTACGAAGCTTAGGTCTTAAAACCTGTAGTAAGTTCCCTCACTTTCTCGCCTCTCAGGTTTTTCATGCCTCAATCATTCTTTCCTCTGCAAATGTGACTTATTTTATACTATTGTAGAAACGTTAACGAACGTGTCTCGTGCATGATTACCGTAGAATGCAGTAAAGTGTGCAAAACCGATTACAAAATACAGCGGCCGCAAAATGCATATTTCAATTTGGTATAATTTGTTTATTTACATCCACAAAAGGTTGGCATTAGTCTGTCTGCAACGATGTTTATGCACACTTCTGTACGAGCAAGCAGAAAGAGGCGCGGTTTCTACGGAAAAAATCTAAATTTCTCATGTCACTCATGGCCACGGTTTTTACTTCAATGTAAAGAGGAAGATATGACATTGATAATGGAAAACAATATCAGCTAAACTGTTACGCTTACAGATCCGTATCCTTTTTCAAGAGATAACAAGGTCCGGAAACTTTTCTCTCTGATTTCGTTGCTTGAGTGACTTGTAGTTCCGTCTGGTTGAAAGTAAACTCTGCCCAGCTCAATACCAACCAATTGCGACCATAAAAAATCATTAATCATCTCTCGATAGCGCAATCCATTCACGGTAACTGTTGCTCCTGCGTCATTTTCGAAAAACTAAAGTCCGACGACCCCGCCGGACTATAAACCGCACCAAACAGTTTGTGGATTAAGTCTTGAGTTTCCCGTACCGCAAATGCGACAGTTTTGCTTATTGACGTCGCCATTGAGGTGAAAATGGGATTCATCAGTCAAGAAGATGTTTCGATGGAATTCCGCAACATTTTCATGCACTTCAAGGACCCAAGCAGTGAAGACACGACGTTGTTGATGATCGTCCAGCTAGAGTTCTTATGTTAACTGAAATTTAGATTCTATACTATTGACAAACCTGGGTCTTACTTCAAGGCTTTTGGCTACAACACCAATATTCTCATTTGTTCTTGAGCGACTTGTTTTATTTTTCACATCACTAACTTGTGCCAAGAGCTCCATTTTTTCGACCAGTTTCTGTATTAGGGTGCGACAAGAACATTCACAGTGACTTAGATTCATCGAGGTAACCTATTTTTGGAAAACCATTAACAATTAAGACAATATTTTTTAATTTGACAGAGTTTTCGAGCTTTAAAAACAGAAAAATCTATGCAATTATATTTAAAAGAAAAAAAAAAAACCGAGAATAGTAAATACACAATTGACATTGAAAATTTTCGCTAAAAATTTATAAATTTATTTATTTTTAATTTTTCATTGTTTTTTGTTTTTAAATCAATTAGAAAATTAAAGAAAAAAATTTCGAAAGCCGAATGTGCTTTGAAAACGCTCAGTACAAATCGCACATAATTCATGAACCATTAAACATCCCTCCTCCCCGCATTAACCTTTTTTTATTGTTGGCATTTAACATTCATGCAGACACAATATTTTTAAATTATAGACTTAATACTTATGCATACATATATAGCTAAATATATATATATAAGTATTTTAACGTAGTGTTAGTCCCGCTGAAATCGCAGTCGAATGAAAAAAAAAAAACAAAATTGAAAAACTGGCTTGCTTAGAATATAATAATACTACATACATACATAAATACATACATGTACACATGCATATGTAGTTATAAGTAGCATTTATGTAAATACTCGTACCCGTATTGTATTTACATATAATACATACGATACATACATATGTGTATGTACGAGTACATACATATGTACATACATACAACAAAAAACAAAAAAACTTAAATCAAAGTACCAAGACCAATAGCGGCATCTTTTTTTCTCTTCTCTTCCCTTCTCCTCTCTTCCAGGAGTTGCATTCTTCGATAAGCAAGAGGGAATACTGACCTTCTGTCTGACATCCAGAGGCACTGTTTCAACAACAAATCGAACGTATTTGTCAAGTGAAATTGCAACCGAGCCGGAGCTAAGTGCGGATACGCCAGCCTATTATAGATCTCGTGACGAAGACTACGATACAATAAACAATAATAATAATAATAATAATAGTAGCAACAACAACACTAAGTACATCTACACAATCAGCAAAGCCGAAGACGAAAGCTTAGCGAATACAGTGGTACGACAACAACCAAAATCATCCAGTAATTCAAACCCGCCCACAGACTTGTTAAAGCAGCCACTGACAAACGGCAGAAACGCAATCCAAACCTTATCTGCAACAGATTTGGTGCGTAATTTACGTTTAGAAAACAAATTACCCTCCACTGCTAAACGTAGTCCGCACGAGGCGTCTACTAAGAAAGCCAGCGCAACCAAAACACCAGTCACGGCTACTTTATCCATAACAAAATCCATACAGAATCTACAAAGTAAAAGTCCGAAAATGGCTTCTAGCGCTAATTTAAATAGTACAGGTGCGCCAGCTGCGGCACATTCAACATCTGAGAAGCAGCCCTGGCCCAATTCGAAGGACGATTACGAGCTGCGCGATGTCATTGGTGTGGGCGCAACCGCCGTCGTTCACGCCGCACTCTGCCTGCCACGCAATGAGAAGTGCGCCATTAAACGCATCAATTTGGAAAAGTGGAACACGTCTATGGATGAATTGCTCAAGGAGATACAGGCGATGTCGTCGTGCAATCACGAAAATGTCGTCACCTATTATACATCGTTTGTGGTGCGCGAGGAGTTGTGGTTGGTGTTGCGTCTACTCGAGGGCGGCTCACTGTTGGACATAATCAAGCACAGAATGCGCACGGCGAATTGTAAGCATGGTGTCTTTGATGAGCCAACCATCGCTACGGTGTTGAAGGAGGTACTCAAGGGTCTCGAGTATTTCCACTCGAATGGTCAGATACATCGTGACATCAAGGCGGGTAATATACTGATCGGTGATGATGGTACTATACAAATTGCCGATTTCGGTGTTAGTGCTTGGTTGGCAACCGGTCGTGATCTGTCACGGCAGAAGGTGCGTCACACATTTGTCGGCACACCCTGTTGGATGGCGCCCGAGGTGATGGAGCAGGATCATGGTTATGACTTTAAGGCGGACATTTGGTCATTTGGCATAACTGCCATTGAGATGGCTACCGGCACAGCACCCTACCACAAGTATCCACCCATGAAGGTGTTGATGTTGACATTACAAAATGATCCGCCCACATTGGATACCGGCGCGGATGAGAAGGATCAATACAAAGCCTACGGCAAGACATTCCGAAAAATGATTGTGGAATGCCTGCAAAAGGAGCCCTCAAAACGACCCACCGCCAGTGAATTGCTGAAGCACGCCTTCTTCAAGAAGGCCAAAGACCGCAAATATCTCACACAAACACTGCTCGCCTCCGGCCCGTCGATGGAAACGCGTGTGCACAAAGCAGCCAAGCGGCAACCCGGCGCTTCGGGCCGCCTACATCGCACTGTCACCGGCGAATGGGTGTGGTCGAGTGAGGAGGAAGACAACGGCGGCAAACATCATTCATCAGACTCTGAATCGGACGATCGACCAATTAATCGTCTGGAACGCGCCGATTCCTCAGATAGCGATCATGATGACTACTCAGAGACCACAGCAACTGCAACGGAACCGGTACAGCAGCAACTACCAGCTACTGCTGCTGGTGCTACTGCTGCACCAGCCGCAAATGTACCAACACCAGCTATGAATATACCTACGCCTGTTGTTGCTGCTGCACCAAACAACAATGTAGCGCCACCACAACCAATCGATGCTGCTGCATTAGCACAGGCCACAGCCGGCTTAGCGCAAATGCCCATGCCTTCAGTAGTGCCGGCCGCCGCAGCAGCAGGGGTAGCAGTAGTAGCGGATGTCGGCGAAGCACCACCTGTCAATCTAGTGCTGCGCATGCGCAATCAACGACGCGAGCTACATGACATACGTTTTGAGTTTGCCGTGGGCAAAGATTCAGCCGAAGGCATTGCCATGGAATTGGTCGACGCCGGACTCGTCGACGCGTTAGATACGCAACCAATGGCTGTGCATTTGCAACAATTAATTGAACAGCGCGCAGGGCTGAAAACCATAACGTTCCAATTGAATTCGGGCGTACAGCCGGGTGAGGTGCTCGACGATCGCTCCCTGGTGGGGTATGCGCAGATATCGATAACGGATTAGGAGGAGTCGGAAGAGCAGTGCGGTGTGTTGGATTGTGTTGTTGGCGATTTGGCGATGTCGGCGGCATCGGTAATACCGATTGTTTGAATATGAACGCTGGAGTCGCGTGTGAGGGGGAATCGATGAAAATTGAGCATGCGCCTGCATATATGCAACATTGTTGGGTTATGGTTTTAAACATTAGAATTGTATGTCATTTTAAAATTGTAATATTTTAAAATATTTGTATGTATGTATTTGCCAAAACACACCGCTTGTTAGCGTTTAACATATGAAATCGATTATATTAAAATATATTATTAATTTAATAATAAATAATAATAATATTATAAATTTTTTTTTGGGCATAATAAAGTGTTTAGTTTATAATACTGATAAAAATAGTTGATGATCTGCAAGGCACCTTTATGCAGCGAGGTCGCTGTAGACACACACCCCCACATCCACTCACAACTGAAAGTACTTACGATTACATGTAATTCTCAAAACTTGTAATTATTTATTGTGTATTCTTTTTTGTATATGTTGTATGTATAATTACTCGTAGCATAAAGCGCCGTTCTTATGCAGCCGCCACCTCCTAACACTGATAAAGGAGGTGCTGGAGCAAAAAATAAAAAAAAACTATATATATATATATAAATAAATAAATAGTATGTAAACTATAAATGGTAAAAACTGTAGTAAGAAATTTATTTTACAAACAAAGCTACTTTAGCGCATAGTGTTTCCTAAAATTTGTATGCCCTTTTTGAGTGACAAAAAGTGAAATTCAAATAAATAAAAATTAAAGAAAGGAGTGTGTAAAATTAATTTAAAAAATATGTGAAGTGTAGGAGTAAAGAGAAATCTTAGGTGCAGCAAGTAACTTGCACTATTTTCGAAATTGTTTATAAAAAATTTTAAAAATATATATTTTTTGCTATTAGTTTGTTTAATTTATATATGTATGTATTTTAATTATAACGTAGCCATCATTATTATTATTATTATTACTGTTATTTGTACTATTATTTAGAGTGTGTTGTATTCGAGCATTCATAATTTAGCTACGCATATATACCTACTCTTTGCATACATACACACATACATACATACATACTTTTAAAGAGCGTAATTGTAAAAAATAATAAAGCGCAAAACAACAAAAATAAATAAAAATGTAGTAAAAGAAATGACGCGGCAAGCGTATTAACCGACTGTTGTATGGCGGCGCCTAAAAGCAGACTATACACAGTAAGAGCAATTCATAGAGTTAGTAAAAGCAGCGTTTGGATTTTAATATAACGGCAGCTTGCTTTTAAAATTATTGCAAAATTTGGAAAACAATTTTAAATCATGTCAATGAAAAGTCAAACTACAGTTGGTTGGTGGATTTTTGTTTTCACAGCGTAGCAACATTTTCATTGAAAACAGATTGCATGGATTACTTATCATACATAGTAAAATACTACACTAAGCTAAGCCTTGATTAAAAATAGAAGAAAATGCATAATAACAATTATAAATATAGGAGAAAAAATATAAACAAAGAATTAAAGAAATAAAATACAAAAATTACGAAATCAATTTTAAAATACAATTTAAAATGGTACTTTTCGAAACAATAATTAAATTTAATTGTATATAACAACATTTGTATGTATCGTATTTCTGAATGCTTAAAGTATGGCAGTAAACAATCGACGACGAATTAAATACAAAGTATCTAATTGCTTAAAGCATTCAAAAACTAAAAACTAAAAAATAAATAAAAATTTAAAATTACAAAAATGAGAATTAAAAACTCAAAAGCTCACACCTTGAAGTTATTTAAAACATAAATTATGCAATAATATTTTTTTTCTTTTCAATAGCGCTAAGTAAACACAAACAAAACAAAACCATATAAAATTTTTTGGCATTTTCGTTGCAATATAAATTAAAAAAAAAAAAATAATAAAGAGATAATATGTATGCTTGTAAAAGTTTTAAATAATATTACAACAAAATATTTTTATGTATAACTTTGCACAACCACACACACATTCAGTTGTTGTAACATAAAACATACATTTTATGTATGTATATGTATGTAGTATGTCTCTAGCCCAAAATTGTTCAATAGTTTGTAAATATAATACATACATATATTTTTTAGCGAAATCAGTAATATGGAAAAAACGAAAAAAAATGCATAAAATGCCTTTCGAAAATGCATAATATTAAAAAATTAAAATTAAAGAAAAAAACGCATTTTTTTGTTTTATTTATGCGGTACATTTTTTTGGTTTTTTTTTTTGTTCCTGAATTTTATGCTTAGTTTAGTTACAACATTTATTTAGCATCTCTGCCATTTGGCCTCCTCACTAATCTACGCACCAATACATTATCATTATTAGCGACATTTCATTAACGGATTTATATATTTTAATTACCAAATTGACTACTGCGTGAATTTGAACAAAAAAAAACAGGTTTGTACTATTGTTTTCTTTGCATTGGCTTTGAACAAGTGAATTTCAGTTAATTGTGTTTAATTTTCATGAAATGCACAAAATTATTTAAGGGAATATTTTGCTGATGTCATCAAATTGGACATATTGATAAAGTTTATTTTTAAGTAAGGAGTAGAAAGTAAAAAAAAAAATCTTTAAAAAATTTATGCAAACTGCTCTGACACTTTTTTTAATGGAAAAAATAATAATTTCTCAATCAAAAATCAGCGATTTTTTTTTAATTACATACATTTTGCTCTTAACACACTATTATTTATTTTTATTTAATTCCATAAAAAAAAATTTGAACATATTTTGCTATCAAAACGCTATTATTATTTATTTTTATCTAAATTTTCATTTTTTAATTAAAAAAACATTTTTTTAGTGATTACTCCTGTTAAACCCCAATTATTTATTTTTCTTTTTTTAATTTCATAACAATTTTTTTTAACGTATTGTTTATATTTATTTTAATTGTTTTTTAATTCCTTAAAAAAAATTTAACAAATTATTTACTATTTGTATTTATTTTAAATTTTTCATTTCATAAAAAACTTCAACGTATTTTGCTATTTAAACACTATTATTTATTGTTGATTTAAATTTTTATTTTTTTAATTTCACTAAAACACTTGTTTATTATTTATTTTTATTTTCATTTTTTTAATTTCTTAAAAAAAATTTGCAACTTATTTTGCTATTAAAACACTATTATTTTTATTTTTGATTTCATTTTGTCTTTTATTAATTTCTTAAGAAAAATTTTAATGTATTTTTCTGTTTATTATTTATTTTTAATTTCCTTAATTTTAATTATCTAAAACTTTAACAAACTATTATTTATATTTATTTTTATTTTATAAAAAATTTATCAACGTATTTTGCTATTTGAACACTATTATATGTCATTTTTTCTGTTTTTATTTTAAAATTTTTACTATTTTTAATTTAATATTTTTTTAACGTATTATTTGCTATTTATTTTTCTTTTTTTTAACAAACTATTTTTTTTTTATTTACATTTATATTAATTTTGTAATTTCATAAAAAAAATTTAAACGTATTTTTTTATTTAAGCGCCATTATTTATAATTTACTTTTAATTAAATTTTTTCTGTTTTTAATTTCATAAAAATTGCTATTAAAACACTATTTTTATTTTTTATTTTCATTTTTTCTCTTTTTTTAATTTCTAAAAAAGAAATTAACAAACTATTATATAATAGTAATCATTAAAAAAATTCTACGTATTTTGATATTTAAGCACTATTATTTGTTATTTGTTTTTATTTTAATTACATAAAAATAGCGAATTTTGCTATTATTAAAACTTTTAAAATACTGTTATTTATTTTTATTTTTATTTTTTTAATATCATAAAAATATTTTGAATGTATTTTGCTATTAAAAGCCCTTATTGTTTATTATTTACTTTTATTTAATTTTTTTATTTCTATTTAATATTACATTATTAGACATTTATTTGTATTTAATCACAAATTTCATCAGCAACATTCATATGTACGTACTTAGAACTCTTCCGATTTAAGCAAGAATGTACAACCCATACACGATAATACATACATACATATTACTTTAAATAATTTTTTTTTTTCAAAAATACCGCTTATTGCAAACGAAAGTAACTAGTTTAGAGACTACATCGAAAATGTGAACAGAAATCAAATTTCGAAAAATAAACTTGTTTGTACACAAAAATACATACATATATATAAATAAATATGTATGCGCTTTAGATTTGCATAAAATGTAAAATTCCCAAACTAAAATTAAATAAATACATACTCTACATACATATGTACATACAATATGTATACATTCATAATTAGTGTATGTAACGACTAAGTGGTTAAATGTTTGCCTTAGGGAAGATTTGAAAAATACACACACATAAATATTAAAGCAAAAAAAAATTACTTATAACTTAGTATAGCCTAAAATTATAGACTTGTACAAGTTTTAAGGAAATGCATGCAAAGACTATAGATTTAGTTCGTATCCAGTAAAAAGAAAATCTTCAAAAAATGTGACTTCAGAACAAATAATATATAAAATGATTTAACTTCATCTATTAAATTTTTTATTATTAAAAAAAAACAATATTAATTTTACGTATTCTTCAAGATTGCGAAACATTTATTATATTCGATAACATTTTTCTAAAAAAAAAAAAAAATATATTAAATTTTCAGTTTATATATTCGGAATACATGGAAATATTCAAACATTCAAATAACTATTTTGTAAATCAAAACTTAGATTTGAGGTTATGTCAGTTTATGGCGATAATCGATATGATTTATAATTGTAGTTCAACGAATTCGCGATTTTCAGCTTAACCTGTAATCAGATAAAGTTTGTCAACGCGAGATGCCGTTATTTTGATTGTTGTATCTGAAGCGTTATGAATTTTCGGTACAGAATATATTTATATAGAGTCTTCTTGCTCTTTAAGCTCCGTTTGGCTATTGCCCAATTATTCCTTATACCTATTTTCTGGAAGACTTTCAGAAGTCTCATTCAGACCTCTTGTGCTCGTTAAAGTTACGAGCCAACATATTATAAAAACAAAAATAATGGAAAATAAAATTTTTTAATTGCGGTCTCCCTTCGGCAGGGAATTTCAAGCTCTCCGAGTGTTTTTCTGGCATTAAATAATAATAAAAGCTCCTCATAAAAGTCCATAAGCCGTGCGGAAGCAGGTTGGAATAAACTGTAGTTCCCTCCTTTTCTTGAAAAAGACATCAAGACGCAGAACAAAAACTTGAAGGAGGAGATTGGCCGAAAAATTGTTTTAACCGTTATAAAGTAATCCATTTTGCGGTTTCGAACATTAACGGAAATATAATGCATAAAAAATATTTTTTTTATGGAATTCCCTTTTTACTCTAAAGTTTGAATCTTGCATTACTCATGTGAAACCCTGCACCATTCAAATGCTCGTCTTGCGAATTTTCGCGCAAATCTACGTACAGTTTTAGGTAATTTTCGAACACTTTTGGGCACATCCTGAACGTTATCTCAGCCATAAATTGGCGAATTTTGGTTTTCAAGTGCATAGATACGCCATACAGCACCATAAGAACGTCTTGAAATAGACCCATTCGAGTATTCGGTTACATATTTACTTACAGTCGCGAGCAAAACGATAATACTCAGGTCCTATTATATCTACAACCGATCCAGTCTCTTGAAATTTTATCAATTGTTTAAATAACTCGACAAGTATGTCCACCACAACCTCTTCTTAAAGCCCGAAACGGTCTTCACGTTAGAATCACCATTTTTTGTAGTAAGTTTTAACAAATTTAACACGTTGTGCGGTTATTAACCGAGTCATTTTCATAAATGCCTGGCTTTTGACTAAAACAAAACATGTTTGGTTTGACATTTAAGTTCAAAATACGGTGCTGTACTTCTGAAACCACTAAATGGGTAAAGTTCCGACATCTTATTTAATCTTATTCCAAAATTGTTGACTCAGAAAGAAAATTTCTCAGAATTGAATTGCGGCTCTGCCAGGAGTAGTTATTCCAGCTCGTAATTCACGAAGAATTTCGTCTTCAACTTTAATGTGTCTTTGAATTACGATAAGTAATCTGCCATCGTCCCTTAGTTTCATGTGAGCGATTATCAGCACGAATGAATTGGTAAAGAAGGTTTCTGGCTTCAGACTGTAGGTGCTGTCGTGAGATGAGAATAGTGCTCAGAATTATGAGTATAGACTTGTCTAGAAGAGGGGAATATTTAAAAATATTCAAAGCATTTTTTTTTTGCGAATGTGAGTTTGGTTGGATTTACATAACTCTGGGGAACCGATAGAGTTTTCCCTAAATGAGCACCGTAAAGGTCTTTGAGCTACTTCTAACTGTAGTGAAAAATGGTACATTTACTTCACAGTCCACAGTAGCTTTGCTTTATGTGTACGTAGTATCCATCATTTTTACCGAAATAGAGGGTTTTCCTTGAGAGTTAAATATTTCAACTGAAACTTTTGCCATAAACTCCACTTATTACTCTATGTTTCTCCTATTACCTGCACATACAGTAAAAACAATCAGGAATAAAACCTAAATTTTGAGTGCGCGTGTGAGAATTACGTTTTTCAAAGCGTCTGCAGCTCAAGATCAGAGCATTTCATTTTTTTCCAACTATGAAGCTCAATAAAATACTTAGCACAATTCTTCGATATAATGGACCAGTAAGTCATTGCGTTGGGGATAGAAGTAATGTACAGGAAGAATATTTCTTGATGCTAAACACATTGAGCAGCATCCCAAAGGCTGGCCGTTCCAAATGACCATATTCAGTTAAAAAAAGAATGCATATAAAATTAAAAATTTGTTAGTCAAAAAACCCTAGTCTAAAATCTTCAATAGAGGAAATAACCTCAAAAGTCAGCGTTCTGTTTCTGCACTATAGAAGGAATTTTGACATGGGTTTATTCACCAATAATAATTTTTTATTTAAAATCCAAAATATTTTATTCAAACTATATGTATACCGTCTTAAAGATATAAATTTCAAAAAGTATTTCTTCAATTTTCAAAGAAAAATATCCAGAACATCACGATTTTGATGGACATTTGAGGTGACCCTTCGGGAAAAAGGTGAGTTTACATTGACAATAGAACTCATGACAAAATTAACGGAAGCTATAAAACTCGTGTTATCGTTAGTTATTACTATAAACTAGAGTTTGGACATTAGAAAAATTATAGTGAAAATTGTGTTTGTGTCAGAACTTTCTACAAGAAATGCAAATATTTTTTTTAAATAGCTGTGATTGAAAAAAACCAATCCTGCGTTGAATTTCTCGTGAAATGTATCTCGAAGACTTGTATACTTCAGCAAGAGTAGCTCTTGAAAAGTTTTGATAACCTATTGTACTTCGAAAACAAGATTTCGGGAGATTAAAGTTTAAACCATTTGAAGTTTAAAGCGCTGAGTGCGCAACTTCCCCAGGGGGTATCTCCGAAACTTTTGTTCGGACCGACTTGAAAATATAAAATATTGTTCTCAAGATGATGTAGAAACTAAAATATATGTGTATATATAAGGCTTTGCTCTGAATGAGAGATGGATCAAACCACAGCCTAACCCATTGCTCATAGAGATCTGAGAGTTAGTGAGTGCGATCTGCGTATGACATAGGCATGCGAAAAGAGAAGATTTTCTGGGATGTGAGACCGATCTATCGAAAAAATCGATTAAATTTTTTTTATTCAAATTTTGTAAATAGGTAGGTCTTTGCCTAACTGTCAAGAGAAAGATTTTTTTTTGTCAGGAAGTAAACGTGAGACCGATTAATTCGAAAAGTTTTTTTTTTGTAGTTTGATTTACATAAAATTTCGTACAGAGGTCGTTTTGAACTTAAATGTCAATTTAGGCGAATACATTTTCTACCGTGAAGTTGCACGGTAATCGATTTTCACGAAAGATCGTGTTTATGATACGATTTACTTGAAATTGGGTATAAAAGTAGCTTGTTGCTTAAATCAAAGTTAGAAATATTTTTTCTCCGATTCGATGACCCGTATTTGCTTAATATATGGAAAATATATGACTCTTTGTGTAATTTTGTTGAGATTGAAGGAAGAACTAGCAATCATATAAATTCGCCTTGCTCTAGCACGACAATAAAAATGTTCGATTTTTTAAATCCAATGTAACCCCTTAGGTCGTCGCAAAGTAGTAATAAATGTCCCTTTTTTAAAGTAACATTTTACTTTAAATGTATCGCAATTTTATATTTTAAAATTTTCCTTAAAACAACATTTAGCTTCAAGCTATCTTTCTCTAAAGTCTTTTTATACAATTGAAACACTTCTCTTGCTTCTCTCATCCCTGAAACTATTAAATACCGGATTTTATCGAAGGAAATGCTACGTTTCTTTGAAAAAAAAAAAAAAAAAAAATCAGAAGTATTGCTCAAATCTTCAGGGTTGCATTTACATATTGTACTTCACCAGCTAGCAAGTATCCAAGCATTTATTCATAACAACTTACGAATATACGTACAGATAAATGTATTAATAATATTAATATTGAAAATTAAGCACAAACAATTTAATATACAGAAGTGCATTCATATCAATATTTAAATATTAAAACATGTACTATATATACATATGTATGTATTTAAATAAAAAAAATACAGATAGAATTACAGAATAATTGTCATGGAAAATGCATTGTAAGGGAATTTCTTGTAAATCAACAATTCAAACAGCTGTGAATTTTGAAATAATAAAATATAAACTCATTTACAAATGTTCGATTGTAATTTTTGGTGTTTAACAATATTATTATTATTGCTAATTTATTTGAAGTTTAAATAAAATTAAAAAAATAACATAAAATAAAAATAAAAATCTGAAGTTAAACTCTAAATTATTGGCTTTTCTTTACATTTACTACGGAAAATACTTAATAATCAGTAATATCAAGTTTCAATTATAATTTAAAAATATGAAATTCTCTCACTTCTACTCCTCTCTCACCCCTCAACCCCATTAGCACAATGGCCGATTATTTCGAGGACATGGGTCATGAGCCGACTGGCGCCGAGGGTCCCAATGATTTCGCCAAACACTACAAACGTCTACAAGTGTTGGCCATCATGAATGGCATTGATATGGAAATTGAAGTGCCCGAAGCATCGAAACGCGCTATCGCCGCGTTGCCGGAACATGTGATTAACGAAGCGGATGTGACGCAGGAGCTGGAGTGTGCCGTTTGCAAGCAGCCTGCCGAATTGGATGAGAAATACAAGATTTTACCATGTAAACATGAATTTCACGAGGAGTGTGTGTTGTTGTGGTTGAAAAAGGTGTGTATGCAGTTTAAAAAAAAAACTTTTCGGCAGGGGTTTTTGGGGTTGTGATACATACATACATATAATTGTAATTGTGCTTATTTTTATAAAGATGCATTTATACACATGTATGTTCATATATACATGTTTTTAATTTCTCCGTATTTCATCTTTCAGGCCAACTCGTGCCCAATGTGCCGCTATGAGTTGGAAACCGATGATCCAGTCTATGAGGAGCTCCGCGAATTTCGTCAGGACGAGTCTAATCGTCGTGAACGTCAAAATTACATGATGGATTCGATGTTTTCATAAAAGCAAGAATTATTAAAGAAAAAATAATAATAATAGTTGGAAAAATATTGTAGAGCTGGTGGGGGAGTTAATATTTACTAGGAAAATTATGGTTTTACTTTCTGAGGTTACTTCAAAATAAATTGAGATTAAATATTGGAAATTCATCTTATTTAATTTTGTTCAATGGTAAGTATGCCGCCTCTGATGGGCTAACAAATATTTATACAAAATTTTAATTTACCTCATGGAGTTATTGACGTTCTCTATCGGGAAGCGACCGCAGGTAAAAAAACGTTTTGTAGATTAGGTTTAACTGCCAGTCACTGGAAGAAAACTGAAGTAGAAATACTTTGGAGGCTTTCGATTGGCTCGAGCTCCATTCTTTTGTAGACGAATTGAGGTTCAGAAGAACATTGTTGAGGTTAAATACATCAGAATTAGGAGCGTTTTTGGACTGCCTGCTGTTGTCAATTGAGCAGTGAAGAGGTAAGAAACTACTGTCGATGCAGCTAATTTATTTTCAGAGTGGTGGGAGAAGATTAATCGATACAAGTTAGGAGGATCCATTTTTGACTTTTTAATCGCTGAAGCGAATTTCGGCCGAGCTCCTTCCGGGTTCTACAATTTATACTAATCCTTCTCCGTACGACCGCTGGATCTTTAGAGGAGCTTTTTTCATGTCAGAAATACACTCGGAGGGCTTTTCTATAGTTTTGGTTATTGGTAGGACCAGGACTCGAACCATGACCTGCTGAATGTCAGTCAGCAGTACTAACCACTCGGCTATTGCGGTCGAGCTATGATTTTGAGTAGCAATTAAGCTTCCAAATGTATTCCAAAAGGCGGCCCCAGTACAAAAATAAAATAGGGCATGTGTTCTGTATTAACAAAAAGACAATTTTAAACTATTTATTAATCGCTTAATCCGATTTGCAAGAAAACGACCAAGAAAGAAAACGTGATCAAATGTTAAAATACTTTTTTACAAAATTATTTCTAACACTTACATATCACTTATCTGGCACTTTATTTATATTTTGCCCTATCAAAATATGTTTTATTTAGGTTTTATTAGGTAAAAACTAAATTTTATATGCAAGTTCAATATCATTAAATTTTATAGTTACTTATTCGCTACAAATGCAACACTGCGCTGAGTGTCTGGTCCACTTCCCATTTCATTCCGCCAATAAGAAAACAAACTTTTGCACATTTGTTTTTGCTCATCCATTCGCATTTTCATATTTTGTTTTTACGCTATTTAATAAATACCGTTTACTTTTACGCATTGGAAGTTTTGACAATATTCAATTTAAATAAAACAGTGAGGATTATATCAAATTTTAGCAAAAATGTTTCCGATTCGTAATGAATCGAGAAGATGCAATACTCGCGATAAAGCAAGCACTTCAGCAATGAATGCCGGTGCCGTTGAAAAAGTACAGGGCTCAAGTCAGCCGGCAAAATTGTTTGATAAAAAATTTGTTGCCACCGCTTTGAGGAATACGCGTTGTTGTCCCAAATGCCGCAGTGAATATTCAACCAACTATGATCTACGTATGGGCGGTAAGTTTGATGAGAGATTTCCGGGCGTGCGCTTATCGCATGTAAAACGTTTGTACTACTGCATAACAAGTGCAATGTGAGGAATGTAGCAATCCTTGTAATGGTATTTACTAAAATGGGGGTGGATTTTTGTAATAGATGCATGAAATGAGAAAGCTAAATATAAAATGCCATTGAATATAAAAAATGAATTTACCCATTGTGCTGTGTCAACAAATTTAATATATATAAGCTTATTTACTCAAGAATGTAAGGCTAAATCAAGTTACATATGCATATTTTCCATGAATTCTTTAATTGCATAATATCTGTTGCATTGCGCGCAACAAGTTTATGAATGTATATACGTGAATAGCCATGCCTAGCCATACAAACATAGCTAAGGACCTCGTAAGAGGAAATTTACAAAAAAAACTTCACTTTCTTTTCTCACGATCAGGATACAATTGTGCTGAGCAAGGAAATATCATTAAGTATTAAACTATAAATATTAGTCACCAAAATATTCTAAAATATTTGATGTGATAATTTTTATATAAAAGATTTTTAATTTAAACCAGCTCATGTACATTTTACAAAATGCACTTTTAATTCGCTTATATGTATGTAAGGAGTTTCATTGTTTTTTATTTTATATTGTGCTCAAATCAAAAAAAGGATCCTTTTCATAATTGCAAAATGTTGAACTAGATTTTAATTCATTTGAATTGAACTTTATTGAACTAAGTTACTTATTTGCTTGATAATTTCTCTTTGCTTATCATATACATATTCTTAAAATTATACCCTTCCTCCAGATTTGCACGTCAAAAGCAATCGTCCCTTCCTGCTTACCTGCGGTCATAATATGTGTGAAAATTGCATATACCAAAATCATCAGAATCTTGTTTGTAGCGTATGCCAACTGCCAATTGTTATTGATAGACGAAATACACCACTTTCGCCATCACTGACCGTACACGGAACATCACAAAAACAGCGAAACCACCATTACCGACATGAAAATTTCAACGTACGAGATTTCTTTTACATGAATTTCTTTTTAATTGGCGAATTGAATCATTTGCGTTTCTATCGGCGCGAGAGCTCAGCAAATAATACATTAATGATAGCATGCGGCAATGAACCACTATCACCAACATCCAGTGGTAATCGTACACTCGCACCTGGCATACAACTAACGCCACCGGCCATATTCGATCGTTGCAGCGAGTGTGAGTACGAGCCGGCAGTGGGTTCTTGCCGCCAATGTTCGGTAAATTATTGTCGCATCTGCTACGATTCTATACACATGTATGGTAAAGCATTGAAGCGGCATACATTCGTAACGCTCGACAAGGATCAGCACATGTTGAGGGATATGAAAAATGTGCGTCGAAATTATTGTCAATATCATAAGCGGTTAAAGGATCGCTTTTGTGACACTTGCCAAATTGTATGTTGTCCTTCTTGTGCTAAAAGAGATCATCAGAGTCATCGTTGGACAACTTTGGGCAATGAGGTTGGTGTTTTAGTTGGTTGGTTTGAAATTTGATTCATTTATTTATATATATATTTTTCTTCATTTTTGCTATGTTCTTGTTCAATGTATATATATATGTGTGTAGAACGAGGCTATGCAAGATGAAATTGCAAATATTTTGGAATCGGTGAAAATGTCACGCGAAAATTTACGGAAAGCACAAAAGGTAAGTGGTTAAAAAAAAATGTGTGTTTTTTTGGAATACAGTCCAATAAAAGGTTGACGAATTTACCTCAATATGCAAACTCACGAGCAAATATGTATCATTCCTCTATTGGGGAGCTGCGAATTGGCGAACCAGTAGCTGATTCTTTGTTCTTTCTGTCAATTATACGACTTTAGGCGTTTCTTTTTCTATATTATATCAAAATGACTTCATAAAAAGTACCGGTTAGAACTCAATAAATTGTAATTACACAAAAAAAAAATAATTAAAATCTCAGTGCAACGAGTTCATATAAAAGTGCAGATTTTTCATTTGTTCAACATAAATCGGCGGAGAAGCTAAAAACGTTTGAATGATCAAAAACCACTAATTATATATTAAATAAACTAAGCTATTGAACTACAGTGAAATTGATAGTCGGCAGAAACTGTTGGCTGTTGTTGGTCACATAGGTTGGTGGCGGCTGGAGCTAGTCGAGGAGACTATAGCCCTCGGGACATTTGAAGACATGCTCTACCTGTATTAGGTTCCATATATATTAGTAGTCCGCCGTAAAAATCATCCAAACTGTATCTTACTCCCTGTATAACTAACCCCAAGTCTTATTACTGCAGCTGCTTAAGGGGGGAGCCTGGTTTAGAACGCTGAAAATTGCCTTACGTATGAAATGTTTCAAGTACTTTTGAAATAGGTCATGGATACACCAATCTTGCAAAAAGAAATTTTACTTTCACTTCATTTGATACTCTTAAACAATAACAATTCGTATTTGTTTGTGACACTTCTCGCTCGAAGAGTCTATTTTGTGAACACGATAGCGATCGTAGTTTCCATCTGAAACATAAAAACGAATATTTTTTTTGTAGCTTAGGAGTTGATCTTCTATGTGAACCTAAGATATTCGAAGAAATGTATAAAATTATTTATTTTATGACTGTTTATAAAAAATTTTGCGTTTTTCTGAAGAAATTTTAAGATAATTTATTGAAAAAAGTTAATAAAATACAACATGATGATGTGATTTTTTAGGTTCACATAGAAGCCTACACTATTAGCTGTAAAAAAAGGTATCACTTATGAAAATGCGACAATTACAACTTCGCGTTCAAAGTTCTCGCGGCCGCTTATCAGTCTCCTGAGGGCATTGTCTCTGAGAGGCAATTTCTGCGGAACGATTAGGAATTTGACGTGGTGCACCGACTTATGGGTAGACTTCCGGCGCACAGGAAATGATCTCAAGGAGTACCCATCGCCGAACCACACTGAAAGTATTACCTAATTTGATTATCCTGGTTATAACGCTTATAGAGACGCGTCAACAGTTTATATCCTTAACGCCGTTTTTCATTTCATGTATATTTTTAATTTTTATTATATTATCTTATTCATCATATTTACATTTTATTTATGCTATACTTGAATTAAAAAACTAAATTTTTTTAGTTTTTGCAAATAAATATAATAATATGTAATTACAAAAACAAGCAAGCTAATGAATATGGCAAGTAACAGAAATAATCATTAACATGAGTTAGTTAAAGATTAGTTGCTAACCAATTTGCTACAAAATAAAAAAAAAGAACTTAAAACTAAAAACCCTTTTTGCTTTTCTTTGTTACAATAAAGTACGAAATATAAATAATACCACGATTAAAGTTTTGAAAAATTAAATAATAATTGCATTTTATAATTTAAAAACTCCCAAATGGCATTCGATTGTGGTTCACTTTGTGTTTTGCCAATGTGCTAAAACCACTCTATGACATACATACATATTTATGTATTTCAAAAAAGAATCCCAGCTAAATAACTGTATTTCTGCCTTTGCGCATAAAGAGCAGTACACAGTTTTATTTTTTTTTTACCCACTCAATTCTCTCACCAACACCTCCACCCTGATGTTTTTCCTTACATTTATCGCGCATCCTTTGCGCTCTCCGCCCCATAGTACATTTTTGGCCCCAACTGACCGGTTGCGCCTTCTGCTTTAATTTCGATTACTTCCACTTTTTCCACATCAATATTGCTCGTTTGTCGCACTGGCTTTGGTGATGACTGCACTTCTATTTGATTTTCCCTCAACAGCGCTTGTGTTTGTGTTTGTGCTGTCGTCTGTGATGGTCGCGTTGCCGCTTCTGTTGTTAACGTTCTACTTGTTGCTTCTTCGGCATTGCGTACATTATGCGCCACGGGTATATGTTGATGAAGTTCCTCTCCACCCGCCTCATCATAGTCCGGTCCCTGTGTAGAGGAAACTATAATCGGTTTTAACTTGAATGAGCGTGTGTCACTTTCGTCCTCCTCCTCCTGTTTCGCTGCCAACACAGTTGGTATGGTGGAACTCTCAAAGGTATCTACACTGCCACGTTTTGATATATCATCGACTTCATCGTCGATCAGTAAATTACGTTCCGAGCTTTGTTCACTAACATGTGTATTTATGGCGCCAAGCTTATTTGGCGCGCTCAAAGTTCTCGGTGCAGTACGTAGGTCAGCCACAGTCGTCACCTCTTCATCTTGGTCGTCATCGTTGTTATTGGCGGTATTTGGGTTTGGGTTGGTGTGTTTGTCGTCGTCACCACCACTGTCATTGACTTCTTCGCTTTCGATGTGGTTGCTCGTTTGCGTTGCGGACGTTGCTGCTATAGCTGCCGCGATGGCGGATTTTTCTATTTTCTCCTTTTCCACGCGCATTTTCTCTTCCATCTCCTGAAATTTCATTGCTAAATACCTAAAGAGGGTTGGGAGTTTAGGAATTAGTTTGCAGTTTGGTTGAGCTCTTAATGTGTTTTTGCACTTACTTGTCGACAAGTGGTCCGCTGTAGTCTTCTGGGAATTTCGGCGTAAATGGCAGAATATATTTGTAGAGGCGTTCGTTGAGCACATACAGCTGGGCGGTTGTGGAGCATTTGACATTGAACCACCAATCACAGGTGAGAGCGATCTGGAAGGAGCAAGTGGAGAAAAAGTACATTATAAAACGTTTAATGAATCATTTTCTTTGAGTCTGTCTTTTCATCGGCAGAGAGCTGTATAGGTATACATCTATGGGAAGACAAGTTGCAACTATAAGTGCTTGCTCTCCAACTACAGCAAAAAAGATCTTAGCATTCTGGGCGGTAGTTATGCAACTCATAACCCAAGATCGTAAGTTCAAGAGGTTTTTTTTAACACCATCATCTTACGGTAGGTCTAAAAAACGAGTAGTTTCGCCGTGTTTGGGCAAAAGGGAGAGGGGTGTTGGGTCTTCAGCTTATTTAAAAGGAGGTAGTTAGTGTTCTGGCGGTACTCATTTTTCTCTGCATACACGTTGGGTATGTCGGGGTCCAATCTAGTGTGTCTTATTTCTCAGGTACAGTATTCAGATCTTGGTTGTGTCAGAGTTTCTCGAGTTTACGTCAGCTCCTTGTGTGAATTCACAAGAGGGAGTACAGAATGCGTAATAGAACTCTTAAGGACAAGCTAATTAGTCTTAGTCACCGAGATTATTACGGGAGGTCTAGGAAACGAGATGTTTCAATGGACTCGAACCAGTGGAAGTGGGGAACTAGATGCATCGGTTTGAGGGGTATGTAAAGAGGTTGTTAGTGCCGTGCGCGGACTTTTGAGATATTAACTGACTCCTGGTGAATGGCGTTCAGTGCCTGTGCGGCAGAATCCCATTAGGAATTGCTTGAATAGCAAACCATTACGCTCCTTAACTCGTAGCATAGATGCTTCACTGCGCAAGTGATGCTCAGGCGACATTAGAAGGTTTCTCGCTGCGCTCCTAAGGGCGGTGCTCTGGCAAGCCTGTAGCCTCTTCATCTGCGTCTCGTTCGTCCCCGTTGCCCAGATCGGTGCTGCATAGTTAACGACCTGTCGGCCAATTTTAGGTTTTCAGCAAAGTTTCTTTGTCTCTACCCCTTGAGCTGCCGGCTAGCGCTTTGAGTACTTTGTTGCGGTACTGGAGTTTTGCTGCAATTGCGGTCGTATGCGGAGTGAAGGAGTGTAGGCTGTCAAATGTGACTCCCAGTAACTTTGGGTTATTTATGGTAGGAATTTTGACGCCATATACCTTCACATCTAGTCCGAGCCTGCATTCCTTCCTCTAGCTTGTGAAAAGTATAGGCAAAAATTTGGTCGGCTGTATTTTTAGCTGTCGTGCAGTGAAGAAGTGGTTCCGGCCGTCGAGATAGTCGTTTACTTTCGAACAAAGATCATCAATATCCTGGCCAAATGCCAATTTCGTCAAGGAAAACCCTTCTGGTGGAGGAGAGTGCTTCGAAATATAAAAGTTGAACAATAATAGGGAGAGGAAAGCACCCTTCGGAACCACTCAGGTAGCCCATGATCCACCTCATCAAACCCGGCGGTAATGTTTTCTCATTGTCGGAATACTTTGACGGTGTCAAAGGCTACCAGAACAGTTCGCAAGTGCCGGGTTACTCGCCATTTTATTTTGTCAACCGAAGGATGCGGTGTGAAAAGTTGGCTCCCAAGAGGCGTGGTCAAGGAATGAAATTTCCGTCGCATTTCGTCGGGTTAGACAATGACTTGACCGTAGCCCAGAGCTTGGTTGCCCCAGAAGACAGATTATATATATAAGTGTATAAGTTCTCCTCCTTCCATTTTTTCCGCTTATGGTTGTCTACTATTCGACAAAACTTTTGGTTGGGATCCCTGATAAGGGGATTACCGGAATCAGCGTGGCGAAGGTCGTAGGTGGTAGTCGTCGATGTCTGGCAATCAAGGTTGGAGAGGTAGCCATGCTCTTTTGGATGGTTAATATTAAGCAAAGTTTCTAGTCTCTTCACTACCGAGGAGGGGATATGCAATATGATTTCTCTTTGTCCGTCGGCATCCCATGTTTCTCTAATGAGACCACTCTGCCTTGTTCCCGCCCATAACGTTTCGGCAGTGGTAAAGTATTCTGTACTCCAGTTGCCGATAGATTTGTTGGCCTTGGCCTCCCCTACAACCCTCTGATTTTGATGAGGCAGAGGCAGTGTATTTCTTGGTGGGATCATAGGGAGAGAGAAAGTTGGCCTTGGCCTTCCCTACAACCCTCTGATTTTGAGGGTGTAAGAGGCAGCGTCGTTCTTGGTGGGATCTTAGGAAGAGAGAGAGTTAGATGTGTGGCGAAAGACCTCCTTATAACAAAGGTTCTCAGGACACTATTCGTGATCTATCCTCGTAAGTAGTAAGTAGTCACTGCATCGCCCCTAGTTATTGCCGATGTCGATTCGATCCGATTGTGTTGCAGTTTTCGTAAATATGAATTTTTTTTTTACTGTTTGCATAACTTACCTGACTGAAAATAGTCCCGTTTGGACATAAAAACGATGCTTTGCCACCATTCAAATCGCAATAATGCCAAACTTGACAATTCGTTTCGGGGTCACCGAAGAAGCCTTTATATCTTTGTTCCGCACAATTGAAATTCGTTTGTGGTATATCAGCCAAATTGGGATAATCGATGCCGGCTCTACCTGTGCTCGGTCCTGGATGCTTATCTGAATAAGAAAAAAAAAATAAGAAATTCAAATTGATTATTTTCTTCCAACGACTCCACCTACACTTACTTGGCACAACAGGCGACAAAACATCTGTGAGATCGGGCGCACCACTACCATTCAACTCTTCACTGCCCGTGCCATAATCATAGTCCGGCGCGGTGGACGGTCTATCATGATGTTGCGATGGATTTGGCACAATCGTTTGTGTCTGCTTGAGATTCTCCAATATCATGACGAGCGTCTTAATCGAATTATCAATATTTTCCGGCGTCAACGTTCTCGGCAAGTGGTTGCTCGCCTGAAGTTTGTGTAGAATCTCCGCCAACGAGGATGAGCGAATGTCGGGCAATTGATTGGGATCCACAATCGGTGCGGTTTTCGCAGCTACCGGCACTGGAGGATTGTAATATTCGGGCAAGTTCACTTGCTGCTTTTCTTGGTGATGATGTGACGCCGGTGGTGGCGCTGGAAGTGGCAATGGCTCGGCGGGCGGCGTCAACTTGCTACTCACACCTCCTGCATATTTGTGTGCTGGCCGCAATTTCACCGCTGGTGCAGCCGGTTTTATGACATCACCGAAACTGGGTTTCCTCTCGGCATAATAGTATTTCTCTTTTACTACACCCATTTGTGGGTGTATGTGTGACAGCGGCGGCTGTTGGTGTTGCACCACCGGTGTTGCTGCGACCACAATCGGTCGCCTTGTGGCATAATGTTTTAATTTACTCCCAGCCGGCGGCAGTGGTTGTAAGCGTAGTGTTGGTTGTTGCTTGTAGTGTGGCCTGCTGGTGGCGTCGTAGTACTCTTGGTTGATGCTGCCAGGTGTCACCTGTGGCGGTGATGAGGTTGAGATGACAATAAAAGCATTTTGTTGTTGTGTAGCTGGTTTATGTGTTGCGCCAGTTGCGGACGGGTTATGTGGTTGCTCGTCGTCCAGTGATTGTTTCGGATCATCGACGATATAGTCGATGTGTTGGCTGCCTGTTGATGGTCTGTGCAGATGAAATAATCTTTTAAATTTATGATCACAAGAAAGATTACGCTCCATTGTTCAGAGAACTCGGTTCAATTAGGCTGCAAACATTGAATGCTTGAAAAAAGGACTTTTCATTGAGAAAACAACTTTGTTCGGTAAAAAAAGTTACACAAATATTGTTTGTGCGACGTAAGTTCTTCTATCTGCTTTGATTCTATGATTGAATGGTAAGAGGATTGTATTAAGAGAGATAATTTCTTTCTCCAAGACAAAAACGCATTTCCTGTCACGAAAATAGTCTCTCCAATCGAGCCTGGCCGTTTATTAAAAATAACTGTAGGAGTGAGGTGCGTATCACGAGGCTCGAACTACACTTTATCTTATTAGGACAGCTGCTGAAGAACCCATTGCAAACCATTAAATGGTTTCTGCGCTAACTTTCGAAGCAAATAATTTTATTGTTATTTTGACGAGGAAGAAACTCTTTTATAGGTCCCAGTGCGCCCTAACCTTGCGTGAAACGAGATAGCATGAAAGCAATCTAGATACCTCAAAGTTTCTTTTTGTATCCATCGAACTTGAGATGGATCTTGTGGATGTGATAGTCCTTGGCCGGATAAAAGTCCGGTTCGTTCCGGTATAAAGACCCGACTGTCCTAAAAACTTTTGGATTTTAGTTGCCTCTCACAACAGGTATGCCTTATCGAATGTAAATTCTTGAATCCCTAATCCGCTGGTATTGGGTACAAATCAGTAAATGTATCTGATTTCAGCGTTCAACATCTCGTCAGGATTAGTGCTTGAAGCAAATCCCAAAAGCAGAGGCCACAGTGCATTAATTCTGTTATGTGTTTGGCCCGCTCAGAACGCCACCGTCTGCTAGAGTTGTACCCTTGGAAGCACAGGTAGTCACATTCGTGACAGAAGCATCTCACAGCTGGCATGAACTTCTATAAATGTTAAAAGTTCCAGAAATGATTAAAAATGAAGCACGTCCCTAACATGGCGATTTTCGGTGGAGTTTCTCTTGCAATTTGTTTTGCATTGTGCATGACAGCCTAAAGCTGACTGCCCACGGGCTCGGACCAGAAGGTAAGGGCGTTTAGATGAGTTGGTTTTAGGTGACCAGTTAAGAGGTGTTTGGTGTCGTGCAGGGACTCATTGCATGCAGTACATACTTTGGGGTATGTCGGTGTCAAGTCTGGATAGGTAGAGTTTAATCTACTGCAATATCCAGACCCAAGCTGTGTTAGTAGGGCTCTTAAATCAGCTCAAGCTCTGCAATCGGTGGTGTTTTGCCTACGAGAACGCCATTCACTAGAAGAGAGTTCAGAATGGTTTTAACGGACTCTCGGACACAGCCAAGCAATGGAAAAAGATCCTATACACATCTCCAGACTTGAGATAGGGAAAATTGACTGGTGATTAGTCAGTTATATTGATGGGACACGCGTCTTGGTCGAATATTTCTCATTTCATAAGCTTAAAAATAACTACAAACAACAGAGCGAATCAATAAAGTTATGGTTTCCTAAAGCTCAAGAGTTTTATGGTAAAAATATATATGAAAATTTATTGAGTAAACAAACCCGATCGAGATTACCATGATAAGAAATGAGTAGAAAGCGATGCTTAATGCTTATGTGCTTGAATAAAAGCTCGTTGGAGTTTCAAGGCGTTCAAGGCGTCTACAAAAGTAGTGATTTATGCATTTTAACTTACCCCAAACCATTGGCATACTGAGCCTGTTGTCTATACACACCGCCACTCTGCACAGACAGTTGTTGCTGTTGCTGATGTTGCTCATGTTGCTGCTGTTGTTGTTGGAATGCATCCAAAGCCTCGCTGACCAGAGTGCGCACTGGAATTTTTACAACTTGTTTCAGTGTAGCCACATTCGTCGGCGGTTGATGATTCGGCGGCAAATGCAACTCTGGATGTGGATAAACCGCATGTCTTATGGGACTATGTTGTGGATAATTGACTTGTGCGGCATTTGTGTCTAATTGTTGTTGCTCGCGCTGTTGACCGTTGGTGGTGGAGTGCGAACCATCGCTAAGGACAACAATTTGTGAATCTGGCTGCGGCTCTTCAGGCTGTTGATATTGCGCCTGTTGTTGCTGTTGCTGTTTAATGAAATTTTCACGCTCCTTCGCGCGGTCACGTTGTTTTTGTTGCTGTTTATTGTAACGTATACGCTGCTGTAAATAACGTACGTATTTCTCCTGTGGCGTCATTGTCCCATCCTGCAAATACGAATAGCTGTCCTCTTGATGCAATAATTCCTGCTGCTGCTGCTGTTGTTGTTGTTGTTGCTGCTGCAATTGTAATTCCTGCACTGGCTGAGTGTCGTCGAAAAAATGCTCCGGTCGTGGCGTTTGAAAATGTTGTGGATGTTTCTGACGTGCACGCGTGGAGTGGCGATGTTGTTGTTGTTGTTGCTGTTGCTGTGTTTGCGGTGCAGTTGCTAATGATGATGGATGCATAGGTGCGGATGGTTCATTGATGATGTGATATGTGGAGCTAAAAATTTGTGTAATCGATAAAAAATGAGGCTTGGTGTGTGTGTGTGTGTGTATGTATGTGTATGTAAATGGATGTAAAGGCGGCTCGCCTGCAAATCGCGGCTCAGCTGCACAGACTCAATAGCGAGAAATGTTTAATTGCGAAATTCTGCCGAAAATCGTAGAAGAGAAATATAAGCAATGCGGAGAGGAGAGCGATGCATTGAATGTCACTACAGACTGCGCTGCTCTTCTACCCACAGACTATTTTCAAATAGACGCAGAGGTTCTCGTATAAAGTGACATGAAACAGTTCATTATCGTAGCAATTTTTCATGTTCGCCTCGAGTCATCTCTGTCATACATACATACATACATATGTATGCATATTTCAATATTGGCAATTTTTACATAATTAACGGCAATATTCGAGATGTGAGTGCCAAGTTTGGATCCAATATGTGTAACACTACTACATTAAAAAGGGTGTTTTTTTGAAGTGCGGTTTTCTTACTTTAGAAGTGGGTCTTATGGACATAATAAAAAGACAAATTTATTACCTTAAAATAATTCAGTTCGCTCGTCGCATCGCGTTCTGCGTCTATTATTCAACATAGTCGCCCACCCAAGTCGATAATTCAAGCAACTATGGATCGGTTTCGCACTACGACTACTCTAGTGGATAATGCGCATCCTCAGAGGCAGCGTACAGTGCGCACTGAATACGCGCTTGCCGCTGTGGAGCAGAGAATCGCAGTAGAACCGAATGAGCTCACTCTACATCGCGCGCAACGATATGAGCCTCTACCCATTTCAAAATTCAAGCTGAACGTCCATAAAGCGCATCGTAGGTGCAGTGCATGGGTCCACAACGAGACGGCCGGGATCGGTGGATCGATTTTCACAAAACAATTTGTTCTGCGTTCAAGCTCACTGTTGGTTCATTGTTAATAAACAAAATAGTTGCATTTGGAATGTAATAATCCACAAGCGATGTCGCTGTTTGGTGTGCTCTATGGGCAGAGGGAATCATTGGTCGGTGGGGAACGCTATGGAGCCACGATTAACCACTTTTTTCTGTCTGAATTGGAGAATGTTAAAATGAACGACTTTTAGTTTCAGCACGACGGTGCTACATGCCGTGAAAGCAACGAAGCAGTCAACGAGTTGAAAGTAACTTGTGGTGAGTAAATTAACTCGGGTCGGTAGCCTGTGGCGTGGCCTCCAAGGTCGTGCTTCTTAACACGGCTGTACTATTTTTTATGGGGTTGTGTAAAGTCGCTTGTCTACGCAGAGATGGCCGAGTCGATTGCCGAATTGGAAGAGAAAATTCGAGGTGACTTGTTCGAAATCATGTCGATTACATAATGGGAAACCCTTAACTTATGATAAAGCTAATTTCTTGGCCATATTAGAATTCATGCGTTTTTTTTTTATTTGCCCTAGAAACCAATTTTTAAAATAACACCATTTCACGTGCACGAATTTCCCGAGGGAAAAGAGGACGACGATTCATAAATTCATACCAAAATGACGAAAGTGGCGAGGTTTTGGTCTTTGTACCCAGTAATTTATGACTATTACATTAGATCACCAGCAATAGCTACAAAAGAACTCGAGAGCCATTATTTTTTTTCATTAAAAATTGTTATGAAATCTGCACATAGTAAAAAGTGCTGAAAATCAAAAATATTATCTCTTTTTTTTTTAGTAAAATAAAGATTCTTCCGGGTTTAATACTAAATTAAAATATTAAAAAATATCTTTGTTCAATTCATATTACAAAGTATGTATATCTGTGAATCCCATGGTATAATAAGAACACGAACCGACTACCGGTCCACAACCGCGCCTTTTTACTTTCTACCCTTCGCTTGACTCTAAATCGAATACCAAGCCAAACTTAGCAGGTTGCTACCTTATTCAGGAATATTGGAATATTTTTCAGCACTTTTTTAAGGTAAGTTGGTAGCATTGTTCTGAATTACTATGCCAAATATGAGCGCGATCTGCAGCAGCTGCAGCAGCTGTTGAAATCAGTCGACCTCAGTTCCCTCTGCGAATTTTATTTACGGCCCCAATCGAGTCGAAACGGGTTCCACTGAGTGGTAACTTGAGCTTTGGAAACAAAAAAGTCGCTTAGGTCCAAATCCGGTGAATACGGTGGTATATCGATGGTATTGAGCGAGTTTTTGGTCTTAAAATCGTTCACAACTACAGCTCAGTGGGATGGCGCATGATTGTCATGAAAGTTTCCGGAAATTCCAAATCCAATTCCGGCCGTTTAAAGCGGATGTGTTCGCGCAAACGCCTCAAAATGCCTAAATAATACTCTTTACTGACCGGTCTGTGCCGTTGAAGCGAATTTATGATGAACCAAAAGGCTAATATCGAGAAAAAAATCATTCCGAAAATCTAACGTTGACGATTAGTTTTGTGCGGTTTCAACGTTAACGATTTCGTTTCGTTTTGATAACATGACGCCGAAACGAAACGAAACGAGTTCATTGAGTTAATTTTGCTTGTTAACGAGACGGTATAATATCGTTGCGTTTGTTGAGCATCACTAGTGGACTTAATACAAAAATCATCCGAATATCTACTTTACAATTTCACCCAAATTTAATCTGCCTTACTTTCTTCTATTATAGAGTTATCTCCTCTTTATTTGAAAATTCTACGAGTCTGGATGAGCAGCTTAATATCATACTCATTGATCACTTGTCATTGTATATTGGTCAGGTTTTCGCACTAACAGTAGATTACTTTTCTCTTCGAGGAGGGAACCAGGGTCTAATCTATTCAAAAACATCATGCTTATGGTTCACTTTACTTAAAACCCGGACATAGATAGCTTCTTACTCAGATTAACAGGAATACTACTCCTCTCCAGAGTGCAGCAAAGGGCAACCTATTCAAAAAAATCATATTCATCTAAACATGAATGAATGAATGGTAGCCTTTTGATTGCTCTTAACTCCAGGGTCTGGACCGTTTTGCCGCCCTATTGGAAATTATCGTTTTATGCTTCAATTTACCTTAAATTTGATATATAATATATGTAGGTTACCTTCTTACTTAGATTAACATTAACCCTACAATTTCTTCTGGAAGTGGATTGCATAGAACAGAAGTAGAACACTTTGCGGATAATGGAAATTGGGAAGGTGCATAATTCTTAACCTATCACTACCTATACAGCACCAATTATTCAGGGGTGTTACAAAACTACATTGTTGTCGGAATCAGAATTGAAGCTCACTAAATTCACCGGGGCGTGCCGATTGCCATTTGTTCCATCTACGGAATTGGTCAGAGGCTATTTCACCTCTATACGATATTAGTAAGAGACTATTTCACAGCTAGTTAACAGCGAACTACCAGAGACTGACAAATTATCATCATATATATAATATCAGAATTATATTTGGGAACAATTATTTTATTAATTTATTATTATCTTGCTCAGAAATGTTGACAAACAGAGTCGATTTCTGGTGGCAGTAGTGAAATAGTCTCTTATTTCTTTCGTCGTTTTCTGGCAGTTTACTCGTTGTTTGACGTTCTCGGGTTCACACGCTGTCCGCAATCGGTCCTTCTCGTTATTTGACTTTGTCTGGTTACACTTTCGGATTATTGACTTGCATATCGGTTTCATTTTCGAAACAGAATTTATATCGATTTTAGGTTTTACAGAAGTCGATTTATCGGTTTAAATTTCGGAATTACAGAGAACGGTTATTCGTTGACGGATTTGTGTGCAAACTTTTTTGCTAGCGGAAAATTCGTAAAAATGTAAGCCATGAAAAAAAGGTTTTACAACCAGTAATGCCTGGAATGCGCTGCGAATGTACTTCATTCCTAATTATAGCCAGCGTGGGCAAATCAAAAGCCTTTAGCACTTCCCTAGCCTCTGAGACTGTAGGTCGCGCTTAGCTGATATTTGAGTCCCGCAGACCGTTGATAGGAGCACTCTGCCATAAACCACAGAGTCGCTGCAAGTTGGAGCCTATTTAACTGGTCTTCAATGACATCCAGTACTCTTACAAAGGCTTCTTTATTTTGGATCAGTTAATGTAATGGATCAGTTAATGTACAAGTAGAATGCAAATTGTATTTACATCGACTCTGGCAGCTCCAACGGATAGCTCTTATCCCTTAAAATGTTGCGCTTTATTTTCTGAATGATTTCTCCAAATCCTTCTGTCATCAAAAAAAAAAGCTTTCAATGCCGAAGTCATTTTAATGAACACGAATATGCTAAAGCCAGTACAAGAATTAAGTTGAATTGCTGGGGTTTTCGACCAAGGGTTCTGACAGCTGAGTCGAAAATCGGTTCGCTTAACTTCGAAAACGAAAAATCAAGTCAGTTTCACAGCACCATTTCAAACAGAAATTGATTTTTAATTCCGAAAAAGAAGCAATTCTGTGTCGGTTTCAATAACATCCCTGATTATAAAATATCAAAATGGAACAAAATACAGAAAGCCACAGGAACGTGAGGTCGGGACTTCTACTGGACTTATATCTATCAAGTCACAGTGTGTTTTAGGAGAGCAGTCTTTTCTTTTTTTTTCAAACTCTGCGAAAGAAGCATTGCGTTCGGACGTAGAATTTCGAACATAAAACTGCTCAGTCCCTAAATTGGCTTCGTTGTCTCACAATTTTTTCCAAGAGCTCAGTTTCGAAACCCAGACCAAATGATGCTAATAAGATTTTTTCTTCCTCTTGATTTGGCAGAGTAGTCACCAAATTACCGTCTCTTGACAAATTATCGACATTATTTTCAACGTTTGTTTGTTTCTTGTTTTTTCTTTAACTTCCATAGGAAGCCGAAAGCATCATTAAAATTACTTAAGTGCAAATGATGACACATAAAAGAGTTCGCATTTCATTTCTTGTTTTCTCCAACCCTCAACACAAGCACGTACAAACGGCTGTTGTCATTATTTGCTATGAAATATCGCTGAAATAAATTTTACCTCGGCGTTGAATGTGAATGCAGTGCTGCGCCGACGGCTGGCCCTGTTGGCAGCTCCGCTTGCTGTGGCGCTAGTGCGGCTGGTGGTGCGCCTGTTGCTGTAATGTATTTTGGCAATTGTTGTTGTTGTTGTTGTTGTTGTTGGCGTTGTGCCTCAACCGGAATATCGGAAGACGACACCAAAGTGTATTCATTGTCGGCGGCTATAGGACGTTGAGCCAGTGCGACGGGTTTAAATGGTTGTGGCTGCTGCTGTTGTTGTTGTTGTTGTTGATGTGGCAAATTGACTGACTGCAACGGTGGCGACAGATCATCAACCAGCACTACCGTCGGTGTGTCATAGCCATAATGGAGAGTGTTGGCATCGTGATGATGATTGTTGTTGTTATTATTGTTACTGTCACTATTGCCGCCATCATTGCCGTCGCCGCTCACTGGCGTGTAAATAATCGGTATGAAATGTCCGGGCAGAGTGTTGGTTGGTGTAAATGGTGTTAAATTGACTTTTGATTGTTTTGGACGGGTTTGTGGGCGAAATAGGAGAGGCGCCGAAGAGGCTGGTTGCTGTTGCTGTTGCTGTTGTTGGAGCTCGTGTTGTGACGTAAATGCCGGTAATTGTTGTTGTTGCTGTTGCTGTTGCTGCTGTTGTTGTAATTGATGTTGCCCGGCATGATGATGACGAATCGCGTTTTGTCTCGGCGGCTGCTGCAGCGCCGACTGAGATTGCTCATATGGCAGCTGTTGCACAGCTGGCGGCTTTGTGGGCGGAAAATGTTGTACCGTTTTGTGCTGTGAATTATTTACAACATAATTAATTTAATTTTCTTGTTAGTTTAACGACAAATAAGCCTCAAGCTTTATTGATTTCCATTTCACTTACCTTATGCTTTATAATGGGCGCAACCGTCGGACCAGGCGGTCCGGGTGGCAGTAGATGCAACACTGGCACTTTATTACCTTTCATATTGATGAGCGATTGTGGATGTGGTGGTGCACTATGTTGGGGTAGGTGCGGCGGTGCAGCAGCATATGCCAATTGATGATAAACATCGCCTGCACTTGGTAGAGAATGTTGCTGTTGGTGTTGTGGGGGATGTGGTGCCGGTGCTGGCGCAGTGGCCGGTGTATATGTTAACTCGCCATCGCTCAAGCTACCCGGTGGTGGTACGCGCAAATGCATGTACTCCTGCGGCACGGGTATGTGAGCACTGGCCGGTGGTGGTGGTGGACCATCTACTACGGTCATTGGTTTGGTGTATTTTAGTGGTGTGAGCACGCCTTTGGGCTGTTGCTGGAAAATTAATGCAATTTTATTGTTGTTAATGAGTTACATGAAAACACACATCATTGCTTTACTACCAACAAACGCACAGAAAGAGGAATTTCAGACTTGAGTTTTACTCTGTATCAAGTGGGGACTCAGTACATGACATACGAGGTGTGACAATTAAGTAATGTGATTGATTATATTGCCGCGATTGTGAAATCCCCTTTCCCTTCTCTCGGCATGCTTCTCCTCTCCATTGAAATATTTGCCTTCGCTCCAGCTTGTTTAGCTCGCCTGCTGTGTCGCGTTGAGTAAACGTGTGTTCGTGGTGCTCGTCACGAAAATGGAAAAACGAAATCAAGAGCAACGCGTCGCGTTAAATTTTTGCGTCAAATTGGGCTGCTTGATCGACTTATTACAGGCGCTGAGAGCTGGTTTTTTCAATACGACCCGCAAACCAAACGTCATCACAATGGTTGTCGCCGCACGGTCCCTGCACGAAAAAAGCTGAGAAAGTCGAAGGTGAAAACGATGAATATGGCCTTTTTTGATAGCGGTGGAATCGACACCCATTTTGAGTCGATCGAGGACATCCAGGCGGCCGTGACGAGGGTACTCGCGGACATCCCAGCCGAAGCGTTCCAGAAATGTTAAGAAGCATGGAAAACCCGCTGGAATCGTTGTATAGCTGCCCGAGGAGTCTTCTTTGAAGGGGATGGCGGAGTTGTAGAATAATTTTGAAGCATACGGTTTTTATGGAATCAGTCTCATTACTTAATTGTCACACCTCGCATGCATATAAGTATGTCTAGGTCTAAATCTAGGTTACCAGAAAATGGAAATGCAATTATATTCTGAATTTGATTGTGCCAAGAATAAATAGGTTGCGATCTCTTAATTTGCAAAGGGTGGAACTTGGTCGTCCATTACGTCGAGTCGGAGGAAAAGAGTTCTGGAACGAATTAATAGGCTCTCTATGAATTGAGTTCAACGCCTGCCCGAAGCTAATCACCTCAGCTGCATAATGATATACTTAATCCCCCGATGAAGGGTCATAACACAAGACCTCTAAAAGTTGACTTCCCTGACAACTCGACAACTCGTAGCCCTCCTTTCGAGCCTCGACTGTTTGAAGCTGACATCTTCAAGCGTAGTATTAGTAAAGACGTGGGTTTTTGACAAATCAAGTCAATCTGGCTATGCACGAAATTGTAGAGAGTGGTGGTAGAAGATATGCTAACGTTAGGGTTAGATTATGTGAGAGTTGAATGACAGGGAAATGACAGGACCTCAAGTTTTTCTTTTCACTATATGGAATAGCAGAGCTATATCCGATATGATCCTCTCACTTTGATGGTTTCCAGTTCTGAAACAACTCAACGCTACTTTCCATTTATCTGGAGTTAAAAGTCTGATAAGCCACAGAATGACTACACAGATGAGCTTTTCTGCTTTTGCTGGTCTTATGTTTTGGTATCAAGTCTCTTTTTTTATATTTACAAGACTTGGACTTTTCGAAAACCAACTATACTTCTACCCTGATGGTATCCATTGAAAAGTTGGCAATCGACAGTTCGTCCAGTTCGTGAATAATATGTCTTTTAGCCTTGACTATAGTAAAGGGAAACAGCTCAACCATTTTATGGGGTGTGATAAGGCGTGATCACCAATAAACTCCATGAGCTGGTTCTCTCTTAACAGTTTTTGGAATGTCCCGTTCATTCTTCATAGGCGTCTCACAGTAAATTGGACGAAAGGTGGATAACGCTAGGTCAGTTCTCTTATGGGATGATTAATCCCCTTGGGGTATTCAGTGATCACTATTTAAGGCTACAGCCACTACTTTCATTCCTAAGAAATCACTTAGAAGGTAGTGAGAAGTTCTCAGCGTATGAATACTGACAGTCCGTAATTAAAAAAAGAAAGTAACCGCCTAATTTTACCTCAGACTCTACTTCTCTCAGGCCCTCCTTTTACCGATTTATCAAGTAACGAGTTAGTTTCTGCACATAGTAAATTTATTTCTCCTTCACTTAAGAACTACCCTCAAACAACGCTCCTTTTAAATAATATGTATGTGTCTATGAAAATCAATCATACTTACTCCTTGAATTGCATACTGTTGATTGATGGGAAAATCCGCTGGCAAATAGAAGGCCATATAGGGAATTAAACGACGATTCCGCTCGGAGGCGCTTAACACTGAATCACCAATAACAGTACTGTTGTCTGCAGTAAGTAGTTTCTCTTGTAGTACGACTTGTGTGGCATTATTTGGTTTAGAATCTGGTGTAACCTGAATGCAATGACCAAGTTTGGCGTAAGCTGTGAAAGATAGAAAGAGAAAATAAAAATTTCATTTTGTGAACTTTTGTAATGAAAGCAGGTGAGAATTATGGATAAAACCAAAAAAGTTTAAAAAGTTAAATTTTTTCCCCACTCAAGTTCTATTTCAATGATTTTAGATAGTTTTGAGGAAGAATTTTTATTAATTCTGACCTTAGCACAGACATTAAGCGCTCACTATTCTAAAATAAAATTAAAATTATACATTAATATTGCGCCTAAAAGTATGCCTTGAAAATGCCGAAGTTATGTGTACTAATTGACGAAGCGATAAAATTAAAATTAGACAGATTTTTTTGTTCCAATCAAGAGCGTGAAACACTTAAGAATTCACATTTATTTATTTTTATTATATTTATTATTTATTTTACTTTTTATTTATTAATTTTCATTTATTTTATATTTTATTACATAGCCATTCATGCTTTAATAATTCCACAAAAACTTCCGTTGCATTTCCGGTTCTCGTTTTTTTTTCTTTCCTTTTTTTACAAAAAAAAAAAAAAATTAAAAATAAAAATAAAGAAAAAATTGATAGGAAAGTAAACATAAAAATGTGCCAACTGTCTAGAAGTCTTTTTCTCAATAGCTTCTTTTCCAAAATTGTCAAAATTTCATTGAAAGGAGATTAAATTTTATATACATTTTTTTTTTTAATAAAAATTCTTTGAAATCAATAAAAGTTTGCATAAACATTATTTTGGTCAACTCTTTCGTGTGCAAATTCAAATCATCAGAGTACCATCTTCAGATGCAATTAGACAAAATTTCAACATTATAAAAATCCAACAATTATGTCAAAATTTTCGACAACCTCCAATCGCCAACTGAATACGCGCAGCTCCGACATCGATGCCTTGGCCCAGCGTGGCTATAATATCGGTCACAAAATTGGTGAGGGTTCCTATGCGACCGTAATCACAGCCGGTTATGCCGACGACGCTGGCCATGGTGTACACTTGGCGTGCAAGATAATTGACAAAGCCAAGGCACCCTCAGATTTCGTACATAAATTCTTTCCACGTGAATTGGAAATTTTAACAAAAATCGATCATCCAAACATCATACAGATCCACAGTATACTCCAACGTGGTCCAAAGATATTCATATTCATGCGTTATGCTGAGAATGGTGATCTCTTGAGTCATATTAAAAAATCGGGACCGATTGAGGAGTTGCAAGCGAAAGCTTGGTTCATGCAGATGGCAAAAGCTCTAAAATATCTGCATTCACACGATATCGCACATCGTGATCTCAAGTGTGAGAATATATTGCTTTCGAAACGTTTAAATATCAAATTGGCAGATTTCGGTTTTGCACGCTATTGCTGCGACGAGAGTGGACGTGAAATCAAATCGGAAACATATTGCGGTTCGGCAGCCTATGCCGCACCCGAAGTTGTATGCGGTCGGCCGTATGATCCGAAATTGGCCGATGCCTGGTCGCTGGGTGTTATATTGTTCATAATGTTAAATGCGAAAATGCCATTCGATGATAGTAATCTGAGTAAACTGCTGGACGATCAGCGGAATAAAAAGTTTGCATTTCGTCGAAAACTTCAAGATCACATATCGGCACAGGCCAAAGCCACTGTGGCTGTACTGTTAGAGCCGGAACCGCATGCGCGTTGGAATTTACGTGAGATATTGAATTGCAGCTGGCTGCGTGCCGACGAGGAGGAACCGGTGGCCTAGTCCAAAAACTATACGTATGTTGTCGTGCTGGATACACATATATATATACGTACATTATGCATTTTTTTGGACCGAATGCCGTTGAATTTTTGTATGGGAAAAAAAGTAATTCTCTCTCTCTATATACACACATACATATACATTTTTAGTTTTCGAAATGTTGGTCATCTGTGAAATTTGCTCACATTTTTGAACTGCAAGCGGCTTTTATAACGGATATAATCATTTTTGGATCTTTGAAATTACAATATATGCGCACTCATACTTACTTGCATGCACATCAATATGTAAAGTGTGCGCATTTGCCTAATTTTTCGTTTATACATTCTTCAAAACATCCCCCCCCCACTCAAACTCAACGGTAAAATTGATTTCAAATAATTGCATTCGAATATGATTTTTTCTTCATCTTCTATTTTTTATACAACAAATATTCGCTATTATTAATTAAATTGGTCATAATTAAATTTGTCTGGTCTTGGACCAGGACAAGTGCCGAGTTAGGGCCGATTTCTCGTATACTGTATGACATTGGCGCCATCTATGGCGTTATCTTTATAAAAAAAAGCTATAAATTCGTGTTGTGCCTTAGAGCAATGGTATACATATTTATATACTTCTCTTAGTTACACGTATATGTGCCACAAAATAACTTATAAAAGTTAGTAAAAAAAATTATTAATTATAATAAATTGTATTTGTATATTTCAAAAAAAGTGCTGTCCGTTTGTTTGTCACTGCGATAAGAAATGTATGTGTTTTGAAATTTTCCAACCTAAAACTTGTAGGTGTTCGATGGAAGTTCTAGACTACTGTTTTCAGGTCTTTGCTGCGCACTCCTCCGACTTCGATGAGTACTACCTCAGCAAAGGTGCAAAGTTATTCTTGACATTAGGCCAATTAATGTACAAGCTATGCATGAGGCAGCGCGAACAGCCAGCCGCTTAAATGTTCTAGAAAATTGGATCCAGTGCCCCAGCTCTGAAGAACATGGCAGCATTCAGAAAATTATGTCAAAACTCGGGTTAAACGTAAAATGCGTTCTAGAAACGGAGACCAAATGTCGGGCAGATACCAGCTAACAGAGCAGGGCGCAATGGGCGGAGGGTGGACTCATCGTAAACAGTAAAGATATTCATATTTATGCTGTAGCGTCTAAATGCCAGGCAGGCTTTCTTTGACCACCCTTTGCTGTGCTTACCCTAATAACCAAGTTTGCTTCAAACTCACTGACAACAACTCTGCCTTCCAAGCAGACATTCAGAGATTGAAGAGATTACACAAGCTGTTAAATGATCTGCTTTAACTGGAGAATCTATGAGATTTTTGGTAGAATGTAGAAGGCAATGAAAAGGCAAAACGTTACCGCCGGCTACTTCACACTTTCAGTGCCTTTAAATGTTGTCTAAAACAGTAGACCACGGAGGAACACTTAAGGTACTGGACTTCACCGTAGGACGGACCACTAAATTATTGTGGGGCAGCGTGGATAGTAGACAGACCAAAGCTTTACTTGCCTTTGCTTTAAGTATAGGTTTATTAAGAGCGCATTCACCCCTGAGATATATTCTCCATAAGCTAAAGATAAAGTGAAATCGGCTGAGTGCAGAGCATGCACGGAAGATATCGAAACGCTGAAGCACTACCCTTGCAAGTATGCGGTCTTTAGCTGATTGCGAAGTCACGGAGAGGTGGCTGCACATGGTTGCAAGAAATTAAAGAAGTTTATTTAATCGAGCGAAAAGTTCAGAAAAGTTTAGTTAGCTTATATACGGGCGACCACAATGAGTTTACTCTATGGCTAAGTTGCGGCCGCTTGCGGTCTGTTACACACCCTCCCTGCCCACCAACCGATGAAGAGTCAACTTGCTGGGTCTACATTTCTGAAAGCTTCAAAATTCATTTATCTACACATCAATATAAGAAGAAAAAAAATAAAACAAATGGATTATAAAGAAAAAAGCGATTACAGGGTGACTCACATGTATGAAATTTGGTAATGTTTTATAAAAAAAAAATTAAATAATTGGCCTATGGAATTCTTCTCCTTGCTCATTGGTGCTGCTTAGGCGATTGTAGCCGACACTAGTTTCTTCTTTTCGCTACTGGGCGGCTTTTGGAAATAACAGGTCGAACTCCAACTATTCCTTCCAACGTATTAAGTGTCTTCCTCTTCTTCCATCTTCAACAGCGAGTACTCATACTGCTCATCATTCCGTCGTTTGGACCTCCGGACGGGTATAATGGGCGCCAAGTAGAGTTTAGTTTTTGTTTGTCGTGAGAGAGAATATCAATTGTTGGTGATTCTGCACTAGATTTCAAGACTGACATTATTATAAGACAGATGAAATTATCTAAGACTTTAAAGTTGTAATTATCAACCGTAACGTGGGAGCCTAGACTAAAGTTCGCTGACTGCTTTGCTTACAGGCGATATTTTGTCTTGTCTTATTTCGCTACAAAACCCATTCAACCCGATTCTTTCTCTGGTTCAGAGAAAGCAGAACAAACGTTGCGGTTGTTGAGAACAGTTATATGAACTCTTATTATTTTATCTAGCACAAAGTAGAAGTATTCACACGATTCACCTGAGTATTGTCCAGCTACGTGACCGATCACATCATTTCAAGTTAGGCTGTCGGTTTTCTCTCCACTGCTGTCGGATTATTCCTTTATACCGAGTTGTCGATGAGTGATCTCAGAGAGCAGGAGTACAAGACGAGTAGAAATCCGTACGGCAGTTTGTTTTGATTGCAGCTTTTCGACGTCAAACCTTCGTTGTGTTTGTTGGCGGGCGTTCTTTGGCACACAGAGGCTGCTGTTTGTTTTTGCTACGCTACAAGATCGTGAGTCTTGACGATGTTAGGTATAAAAATCTAAGACACTGGAGACATATCTCCCTTTTATTAGAGCATAGTAGATTTGGTAGATTGAAGCTTCATGCGTTATCTTGTGCCTTAATCACTCAATCGTAAAATCTTGCACAGTTCATATCAAGTAATATAATTAAACATTTGGCTAAAAAAAAGTTTCTACTATAAGCCTTCAGAAACTTCTTCAGTTTACGACTTTACTGAAAAAATCGCGCATAGGTGGCAACCCATTAACTCTCAGCGCCGACTATAAGTCTCTTTTTTAATTTTTTTTTTTGTCTTATTTTGATATTTTCTCAGCTGAACCAAAAATTTTCAATAAATTCTAATTCTCCTCCCAAAATTTTTGCTGTAACCTTCAATAAACCTTCTCAATTAAAGACCTAATTTATTGTATTACTTATATGATAAATTTTTCCAAATTTCTTGAAGGGGTGCTACTCGTAAGTAGGTGGCTATATGTTCTATTCAAGGGTTAAGATAAGATGGTCTGGTGGCGATTTTCGGCCGAGCTCCTCCTCCAATTTGTGGTATGCCGCTTACGAGCGGCTGATGGTTTTTATGAGGAGCTTTCTATTCCTGTCAGAAATACACTCGGAAGACTTGACACTCCCTACCGGAGGCGACCACAATTAGCAAAATTTAATTTCTAAAATTTTTGTATGTTGGTCGGACCAGGATTTGAACTCTGACCTTGCGATTGTAAGTATGCTTTCATATTAAGAAAATTAAAATATTTTTTTTTATATATTACAAATATAATAATATGTTATATATTATGTAAATATTCCCAAAAAGCATGGAAATTTCCTGCCTACTAACTTAAAAGATTTCACTGCAAAAAAAGTCATGTTATAATTAACTAAGTGTTTTTTTTTTGTTTTTTTTTTTTTGTTTTTTGCCGACTAGAGTTATTAGAGGCAAATTACAAATTCTCTAAAGTCTATAATTATCACGTGCACACCAACCCACCAAACCCACCATTGCACTAACCACCACTACAAATGCATTAAATGCTTAATTTTATTGTCCATCTGGAGGAACGAATTTACCATTTGCTCTTAAAACGTCACAAGTAATTGCGGCCAACAATTGGTAGTCTCAGTCCATCAACAACCACCCACATTTATAAAATTGTGTGCTATATGCAACTACATGCATATGTATATACGAGTGTAATATATGTGTGCGTTTGTACCGCATGTCATGTCATGCTTAAGGCACGAACGAACCGTCCATCAAGCCAGTGGCAAGTAAGAGCAACAAGAAACTCATGTACAATATATGTATTTTGTATGTATGTATGTATGTACATATGTATGCATATTTATTATGTATTGCTTTTAGTGAATGGCGCTGGCAAATTTGCTATTCTGCTGTTTTATGCCAATTCTGTTGGTATGTATGTATGTTTGTAGACAATGTGAAGGCAGCAAATATAATTAGTGGCACCAACTGCACTTTCAACTAAAACAACAACTGAAATATGTACAATAACAATAATAATTAAAAACACAAAAGCACATTACGAGACACAACCAAACCATGGAGTCGAGAAAATAATTATAAATAAAATAAATTAATTAAATTTAATAATAAAAATTACTATCATAAAAATACTAATGTTTTTTTTTTCTTTTTTTCTTGTTTAAATAAAACACATTTTATTATACCATTGCTTCGAAGCTTTCGAAAAATGTTTATTTATTGCTGCAATGTGTGGCTTGGGTATGCCAGGATAACGCCGCTATTTGGCGTTGCTTTGTGTCTAAACTCATACCGCGTCTCGCATGTCAACTTGCAAAGTGCAATATTTTGTACCGTTTTTCGTGCAACATGCTTTTGCCACATATTATTTTTTTTTGTAATTCTATGCTTACTATGTTTGTATGTATGAGGGCATGTGCAGCGTATTGCTGTGCTATGTTATGTGGTAATCTCAACCAAATCTTAAGTTGCAACAAATGCACAATATATTTTAATAGCCACATGTCCAACTTCTTGAAGTCGTTAAAAAACGGGAGTATGTGTTGGTACGGGCATTATTGGTACCTGATTACTTTTGTCGTTTGTTAGAAAAATAAATGCCCGTTAGGATAAGGTGAAATGCTCTTTCAGTTACACTTCAAAATGGAGACATTATTCTTTATTGAAAGGATGTCGCTCTTACTCTTTCACTCTATCTCTCTCTCTCTCTTCCTCAATATCTTATCTCTCCCTCTCTCTGTGCCCTATCTCTTTCCCCCTATCCGTTTCTTTCTTTCTTTTGTATTTCTTTTTCTCTCTTTCCATTTTCTCTCTTCTACTCTATCCGTTTCTCTTTCTTTCCCATTGTCCCTTTCTCTCTTTCTCCCTTTTCTTTTTTCTCTCTCTTTTTCTTTTCTCTCTCTCTTTTTCTTTTCTCTCTCTTTCTCTATTTTCTCTCTTTTTCTTTTCTCTCTTTCTCTTTTCTCTCTCTTTCTCTATTTTCCCTCTTTCTCTTTTCTCTCTTTTCCTTCTCTCTCTCTTTCTTTTTTCTATCTTTCTCTTCTCTCTCTCTATTTTCTCTCTTTCCCTTCTCTGTCTCTCTCTTTTTTCTTTTTTTCTCTCTATCTCTTTTCTTTCTCTTCTCTCTCTTTCTCTTTGATTTCTCTTTTTTCTCCCACTTTATATCTCCTTCTCTTTTTTCCCTCTCTTTGTCTTTTCTCTCTCTGTATATCTCTCTCTCTCTCTTTCGCTTTTTTCATTTCCCTTTACAATTGCTCTCTGAAGATAAGACAAATTGGATAAAAGGCTATTTATAATAACTGTACTTGGGCCTCTCGTAGCC